TTTTTTTTTTCCATGTGTTGTCCGCCGTTGTAGAATAAATAAAATTTGGGTGCAAACTCATCCAGCCCAATGGGGCAAATGAGTTGCATGAAGCCAGTCCACGGGCTGGCTTTGTGCTGTGGAGTTGCATCATTTGTTCTGGAATGGGGCTGGAAATTTGACAGCATTAATTGCTGCAGCTTCTATAGTTTTTGCAGAAGCCACGCCTCCCACCACCAGCATCAGTTGTTGCGGCTCCACAAATCTTGGCAATTGATGTTGCTATAGCTCGTCTAAGTGGCAAACTTCCAGTTCTATTGGAAGCTTCACAGGCCAGTGACATGCCTCCATGGGCCAGATTGAGCCCAGAGACTGTCTTTGACCTCCTCTCTAGTATTCAAACCTTTCTCTCTTAGATAGTATAAAGCATTGTTAATATCCTAAGTTCTCAATCGTAAGGCACCCCAAGATAGACTCAAGCCACCCCTTAGAATATACTAGCTTTTAGTTTTCACTCCTTTTTTGGCTACAGAAAAATAATAGAGCAGGTTTTGTTGCAAAAAAACCCCAAAAACTTGGAAAGACTACAACTCTGGATTTCTATTTGAAATCTCTGGGCACATCCACACATGCAGTCATGTGCGCTTGCAGCAGCTCAGATAGCAGCAGCACGAACTTGTACTGAGGATTTGTGCTTCAGCAAACGTGCCTGAACATGCACTTCATTGTGGGGCAAATTGTGCCACTAGGGGCAAACTGACTCTGCCCAGCTCCTCCTGGACCTTCAGCTGGGGGAGCTAGAGACCAGTACAGCTAGCACTGTAAAGAACTGCCCTGGCGAGTAGCTCAGGGCTACTTGCCCTTGGGAGCTTCTGACGCCTGGCCAGTTGGGGCTAGTATCCCCAGATAACTTGTGCCGGCTGAACTGTTGAAGCAGCCCTAATCTAGAGTGGCCCCTGCACCTTCTACCCACTGTAGCAGTCTGGCAGTAGGACCTGCTGCTTGACTGTGACCTGTTGCTACCTGCGACAGCATCTGCCACCTTGGACCTGTGGTCCCATGGATGCACACCTGCTGGACCTAGTCCAGCACTGCACAGCCATCTGGGCTGTGGTGTAGGTACTGCAGCAGAGCCTCCTGCATCTCTGGGCTAGCTGGCAGTGGGCTGTGGCTGCACAGTTGGCCTTCATGGGGCACTGCTGTCACGTCTTCTGATATCCCCGCTCTGCCATCTGGGCAGCTATTGCCTAGAACAGGGGCAGAGGCTTGAATTTTGGGCGGAGGGCCTCTTACTGATTTTTGGCAAGCCATCGAGGGCCGCATGACAGGCAGCCCAGAGCTGATTAATATTAAATTTTCTAATTTTTTTAGGGGCCATGGGGGCCAGATAGAATGGCTTGGCGAGCTGCATCTGGCCTGCGGGTTGCATTTTTTTCCACCCCTGGCCTAGAAGATGTGCTCCTTGAGGTGGTCTGCTTTGAACTGTCAAAATGTGTCCTCCTGGCCCTAAATGGCCAGGTCAGCCACCTCGTCAGCCCTCCAGCTGGGTCCCCAGTGCTGGCCCTGGGCAGGTTTCTCTGCCCAGGTCCTGCCACGTGCATCACTAGTGGAGATCCTGGTGTTCCTGGTTTAAAAATTACAAATATTTTGGTAAAAAAAACTGCAAATTCTCTCATTAAAGTACTCCAAATGTATGTTCTTCTGCAATTAAAATAAAACATCACTGTATAGTGAGAGATTGGTTGTGCAATGTTTTATTGATTATATTTACAATTTTAAAGCAATTTGGAAGCCTACCAGTGCTAGGGGTGCACCTATAAAGATTTTTTTGGCCGATTTTTGTTAACCAGCTATATAGGCTGATACTGATCCAATAGCTGATGTGCAGCTTGGAGAGCAGCCTCAAGCCAGTAAGTGTGGTGGGAAGCAGGGTTGTGGGGGGGCAGATAGAGGTCCCCAAGATAAGCGAGGGAATGGGGCAGGGGCAGGTGCCGCCCAGGCGGGCAGGGTGTGGGGTGGACCTGCAGGTGGCTCATCCGGGAGGCTCAAGTGTGTGGGCTGGGGGGCAGCTCCCAGCTGCTGTGCACACCCCCAGGGTCGGCATGGGAGTCATGTGCATGGGGCAAGGATTTTGTGCATGGGGTGAAGGTGGGCTCGGGGCCAGGGGCTGCACTAGCCTCTTCCTGGTGGGGGCTGCTGGGTAAGGGCTATTCTTGGGATGGGTGGGGGTGAGGTGGGATGCAGTGGCAGCACTGGGAGGGGGGCTATGGGCTACAGCCATCCCAGAATTCATCATAGTGCCTCCCCAGAGTGTAGCCCCTGGCCCCGACCCCACAGCAGGCAGCCTACTCTCGCCTCATGCACAAATCTGGGGGGCACGTGTTTCCCCATGCCTCCCCCAGAGGTGCATGAAGTGGCCCAGAGCTGCCATGGCTCCATCCCATGCTCCACCCTGCCCTGGCTGATGCTGCGGTGGGGGAGGGGGTTGCGCACCGTGCAGTGGACCCACCCCTCCCCCACAGTCCCTCCCCAACCACAAACTCCCCCACAATCCACCCTCAAAGCCCACCCACAAAGACCCCCACCCACATATACCACCCCACCCCAAGCCCCTCCCCCCAAAATTTCACACCCTATGTGTTCAGCTGCTAGATGGGACAGGACCTGCATGCCATAGCCATGGCTGGAGGGGCAACTGCCACACTGCAGCCCTGCCCTGTGCTCTACCTGTGCTATTTCTCATTGCAACATAAGAAGCCAAGAATATGAATTTTCAGGGCATTTCATATATTCAAACATACAGCTGCTGGGTGAGTGCTTGGTACTTCTACAAATAAACTCATGCCAAGACAAAGAAATTCATGACACAGTCAGAAAATAAAAATGCAGGGTGGATGACCATGCAATAAGTCTAAGAAAGGTGCTTACAGGTTAGGGTCTGCTATGCTGAACTTTTTGTTGGCATGTAATCCCAAAGTCAAATCCAAAACCCAGCATTAGGTGCCTACATTCTCTGTACAGTGCTTAGGAGAGAGGGCTTCACAATGGGATCCAACAAAATCTGTGTACTGTCCAGGAATTGTCTAGAGCTAGTCAATAGGCAGTGCTGAACACCGGGGGGGGCGGGATGCTTGAGTTCCAAAGTTTAGGTGCCTGAGACGAGGCTGTAGACAGGATCCTCTATCAAGTTAGCATCCAGAACCTGGAATCTTCTCCTTCAGGATCTTCCAGAGAGCTGAACAGGGCTATTTCATTTGTAATGCAGCTCTATAAGGCAGAAGAGAGATTATCTGGCCTGTTAGTAATGTATAGCTTTTTTTTTTTTTAATGCAATGATGTTTATATGAAATACATAAAGACACCTGGGAGTAGAGAACTTGGGATTCTGTGCTTCCAATTTTTATTGCCCTAACAATTCAGATACAACATCACTGCACTGTTAAGTGTGCAAACATGATTCACAAGATTCCCTCTTTTACTTTTTCCAGCCCCATCTATAATGTATTCTTTGCTGCACAATATCATACCTCTTCATAAGGAGGGGAGGATGCTCCTCACCTAGCTTGTCTATAACTTGGTGGGTAGGGTACTCTTAGAAAGAGGGGCATGAGTATCTGAACTCCGCAGGCTGAGGAGGGTTTTGAAACAGTCTCTGACCATTGTAACCTCTTCAGCTGGCTTTTTAAAAGTAGAAATATCTATGGTTGAATTTTTGTGAAGGGCCTGGTTCTCTTAGTGTGCAATAGCTGTACTCGGAAGAAACAAGTTGGGTCATTTAGGACACAAGTGCCATCCCATCTTGTTTCTGGATGCCAATCAGGTTTGGGTCCAGGCAACTCAGCAAGTTTTATAGGAGGCTGGACCAGCACTGCCCCATCCTGAGTAGCTAGACATCAAGGGAATTTGAAAGTCATAGATTTAACTACTGAATTTTTAAGCACCTCCAGTACTAGGCAACTGCAGAGCAGGTGTCCTGGATCTCAGTTTTGAACTTGGGCATGTAGGTCACTTAATCCTTTAGGACCTGGACCCAGTTGTGAAAAGATTGGTTTAAGCAAATTGCCCAGCATCCCAAAGGAACTATATCAGAGAAGTAAGGGTAGGATCCAGTTCTTAGAGAAACATTTAACTGCCTTAGTCACAAAATAATCCTTTCTCTTCCTTCTCTCCACCCCCTTTGTTAATGGCATGCTTTCTAGCTTTTGCGACAGATGAAACTGACTTCACTGCATAATCTGGAATGATCCATACTTCGGCTCCAGCCTGAACTGAATAAGGTTGGGGCCTTGCGCGTATGCATTATCATCGCACACTATTGTTTCTACAGAAGGCCCAGTTAAGGTTTTACAAACAATGCAAATAATCAAAATGATCTGTCTCTGGTCTTGCAGGCCTTCCACTTTAACTATAGCCTTCTCCTATCCTGTGCAGTCTCCTTTCATTTTGTCACATCTTCACCTAGCCGTTCCAGATCAGTGTTTATGTCATCTTGCCATCGTTGCCTTAGTCTGCCTCAAGGTCTGGTACCTTCTACCTCAGTTTCCAAAATTTGTCTCGTATGCCTTCTCTGCATAGCCAATATGGTTGCAAATTCTTCCATCAGGAGAAAATGAGGTGTCTTTACGTATATTTTTCTTATGTAGGAATGTTGTACTTTTAATCATGTTCTGTGAAGTGGTGAATATTATTAGTCTTATACCATTACTATTTTGTTTCATCATGCAGACTCTCTGTATTTGTTGTACTTTGCCAGGCATCTTTTGTGCGGGGTATGAGGCCAACAACCTCAACTCATGAAAAAGCTAATAAAAGATAGAAAACTTTTTTTTTTCTTCACATTAGGTGTAAATATAACACTTTTAGATATTTTCAAGTGAGAGATGCTCCAGTACATCTTTAATGCTTTTAATTGTGCCCTTTTGACAGCGTACTTCAATTTAAAAATAGCACAGACTGTTCTCTTTTTGTGAAGAAAGTTTCTTATATATTTTCTTAACTTTTTTTTTTTTCTTCACTTATAGGTTTTCCTTACTCCTCCTTAATCTGGAAGAATATTACTTTGAACAGCATACAGCTAATCATATAAACAAAGGCTGTAGAGGTGAAAGGTAGAAAACCCATCTACTTGTATTTATTTAAAAATTCATTAAAATCATTCTGCCATTATACTGTATAATGATTTGGCATTATCATCATGATTTTCTTTTCATTTCTAGGCAGATAAGAGGTTCACTAAAAATCTGTTCAAAGTCAATTATTTTTGAACCTGATGACAATATCCACCCTATTATTAAAGTAAGTTGTATGGTCTTATAACCTGGTAGTATCTTGGTTTCCTTTTTAAAATGAATTTTAAAATAAACTCTGTATTTCTATAATTTATTACAGATACCATTGAGAGACTGTCTTAATATAGAAGCACCAGAAGACAATGAAGCAAATAAGCATTTTGCAAGGTGTGTGAATTTTAAGAAGTTCAGATGCATACATTTTTTTTTTGTTTTAGTAAGTTGAATTATGCTTTTCAAATATACCGTATTTATGTTTTAGGGAGATACCTGGAGGGATTTCTATCACATCTAATCAGGTAAGACGTCCACAGTTTTTTTGGCAAGTAAGAATTTTTTTCTGTTTAGTATTTACTAAAATCAATATTAGAAGCAGCTAGTTAAGGGGGGGATATTCACCATTATTGTTCTTAAAGTATCTTGTAAATAAACAAGAACAGCCATAAAACACCTGCAACCTTATATGAAACACAAATTTAATATTTCAAGAAACCTACCTGAAAAGTTCATAGTTTTCCATGCTGAGTTTGCATCATAAGTTTTTATTGGGGAAACTTCCTAATAAAGACAATATTTTCAGAAGTAACTTGAGAAAGGAAGAATAATGCTCTCCTTAGTGAAGTGTTTTTCGTCTATGAGATTTACTAATTTTGGTCTTGCTATGTCGCATAGTTTTTCAACACTTCATTATCACAGGGATTTAATTTGTTAGTGTTGGAAAAAGTCCTAACATTGAAGTAAATGGGGAAGACTCTGTCTAAACATTGGACTCTAGTGTATGTTCAGCACTAATCAGTAGATGATTTAAAAAACGATGCAAGTAATATTTTGACAGGAGTGTCTTAATTATGATTAATATCTATAAACTATAGACATAGTAGCTTTAATTAAAAATACAGTTGATTTTGAAATTTTTAAAAGCAACTCTTTTAGCAAAAATGGGAATACTTCTTTCATGAAGTCCTTTGTGACCAGGGTGAATCACCTTATTTTTTCACCTGATTTAGTTAACATCTTATGGTCACTTTCTGGTGGATTTCAAAGTGGTAAATATTTTAGTAAAAGAAGCAGAAGTTTATTTTGTGCTGAAGTAGTAAGTGTATGCTTCACTTTTACTTGCAACTCTAAAATATATAGAGAGATATAGATGTATATAAATACAAAAAATAACACCTTGCTTACCCTGGAAAAAGTCTCAGGCTATACTGATATTTTTACCCAGTGTAACTACAATAATGAAAACAGAGGCAATGAGCAGTGGCAGTTGCTCTTCTCCTTTCCTGGATTGGACTGGGAGGGGAGCAGCGAGGCACAGCCCCTACCCCATTCTCCAAGCTGGGCAGTGCTAGGCTTAGAAGAGGAAGGGAGCAGCAGCTGTTGCTCTTCTCCCATCCCAGACTGATCCAGGAGGAGAGAGGAGCAGCAGGGCAAAGCCTCCTGTCTGGAGCAACCACTTCACCCCTCTGCTCCTGGTCTTATAGAGCAGAGCAGAGGGAGCAGCAGGGCAACCCCTACCCAATTCTCATCCTGGGGACTGGTGTGGAAAACAGGCAGAGGCTGCAACGCTCTTTACAATCTGCTGCCAGGTGCTGGGAGCCAAACGGAGGGAGCAGTAGAGCAAAGTCCCTGCCTGCTTCTCACACTGGGAATGCTGATGTGAGAAGCAAATGGTCAATGGGAGAAGGGTAGCAGCTGCCCTGGTGCCTTCTCCAACCTTGGGTGACCCCAGTCTTGGGATGAGAGTTTTTACCTCTGTTCTCTAGGAGGTGTTAAGCTGGGGGAAGGTGTACATAAGTTTATTCTCCCAAGAAAAACTCTCCTTGTTCCAGTGTTATCTTTCTTCTGGAGCGGCCACTTTTTGCTTGAGAGAAAGCTTGAACAGCTGTATGTCTAGAGATGGAGATTCTCTTGGTAGCAACTGAACATCTGTAAATAGCCTTCATATAAAGGCAGTTTTTACTGATGCCAATGAATCGCATCTGCCTTGTAATAGGTAGTACTTACAATTATGCCATTGGAGGAGTTCTTGAGGGGTCATCCAGTCCAGCCCCTGCACAGATGTAGGATGTGCTACTTCTTTACTGTCCTTGATAAGACACCAAACAGACATGAATTTGCAATGCCACAAAATGTGGCAAGGGGAGTGTACAAGCATTCTAGCTCCAAAAAGGCAAGCTCTTCAGCCAAGGGGTGATAGTGAGCAGCTCCTTTGTTCTCTCCTCCCAGGAGTACCCAATTATCAACATCCTTCCTTTCCAATTCCAGGGAAGGGGGCAGACCTGTCAATGAATATCTGGTAGGAGAGAGCTGCTTTCTTTGCCCCATCACCCCTGGTAGTACTGCCAGAGCTCCAGTTTTTCCCAGAGCTCTTGCAATGGTGGGGGGAATTTCCTAACCTTAACCCCATCCCCTCACCCTTTTGCTTGCCTGCTGTGCTCTTTGGCTGAGCAGGCAGGGGGAATAGGGAAGGGAAGTTGTGCCGCGTTTTGAGCAGTCCCTCAGCTCCCTGGTGCTGGTTGAAGGATGGGGAGTGGGGGGAACCATGCAGCTCTTTAAACAGTGCTGGAGAGAGCCAAGACTACTCAAGTATCTGCAGTAGTCTGGTCCTTTCAGGGCTTCCTGACACCTTGGCCCTGGGTGGGATATCTAGACCGTTCATTCTCTCCCTTTTCCTTGGAGGTGGTGGGAGGGGGAGTTGAAGTCTTGAGAGATGCCCATCTCACTACCTATAACTGAACAGGCATTACATACGTGCTGGAAAGCAGCAAAGTTGTTGTTTAAAAAACAGTTTGTGGTGGAATCATTCTTTTTTTCTGCTATAAATAGCTTGAACACCTGTAATACGTTCACCTTTTTTGTGCCAGGGAAAAAAGGGTTTTTTTCCAGCACAAATCATGGCCTTGTAAACTTCTGTTGAAGTAGATTCCATAACTTCCCTGGGCAGCTTGTTCTATTGCCTAACAGTTCTTACTGTGGGAGTTAAAGTGAAATTAAATGGAATAAGTAATGAATATAATTTCAGACATTTACCTACTATGTAGGCTTAAAAATTTTATATCGGCTACTAAAAGTGTTGAACACTTCTTAGCTTTTGCTTTCTTTAAGATCATTTTGATTTAAAGACTTAGAGTAGATACGAGTTCTAATACTTTTAAGACATAACTTTTAAATTAAGATGCATAACTCTTAAATTAAGAACTTAACCTATAGGTAGGCTTATATATAGCCAGTTCTAGGTTTCTTGTACCTTCCTCTGAAGTATCGAGTAGTGGCTACATTCTGGAATAGGACAGGTCCCTTTTTGGATGTGATGAAGCATTTCTCATATTCTTGTCTTCCAGCCACTGTAATTCCTTCTTCCAGCTTCCAACTTCAGGAATTGCACTGCATTCCTCTGCCACCTCCCTCCTCGCATCCAGGAACACACATACTTGCATTCTCTATCTACATATTGCACCAAATGATAATTCACAAATCAAATTATATTATCTTTTTTTAGGTTCATCTAATTAAAGAACGAAACATTATTGCACCGTACAAAACTGAAAGAGTAAGTGAACACTTTTTAATGTTTCTTGCCAATTCAAGAACTGAAGTACAGTTCATAAAAATCCTTGTAAGAATCAGATTATTTAATTACTGCGTTGAAGAATATGGGAGTAAAATCAAAACACTTAGAATAATTTTTCCATTTTATTTGATGGACATTAATATTTTTGAGGTAACTTTGTCAGAGGTCTTAGTTTTCTATGACCGAATATTGAAGCAAACTTCGGGAGTATTTATACATTTATAGGCTTCTCAATCGGTTCAAACCAGAACAAGTGAAGAGAAATGAAACAGAAAATGACAAGCTTTTTTGTATTTCCTTTGGAAGAGTAGGGCATAAGTTCAAACACCAAAAAAATTGCATTCTTATTTAAAGTTACTAGTAAAGAGCAAGCAGGTTCAAGAATTTAAGTTACACAGTGTTCTGTCTTCTCTTTTGTAAGAGGAAAATTGAGTGATAGTGATACAGCCCACAAATTCATGTTCCTATAATGAACAGCAGTACACCTTGTAAATGCCCTCTGAGGTATCTGTACTTTGAAACCACTTATCTGATCTCCCTTTTAAAATCTGTGTAGTAATTCTGAATTATGTTTCCATGTGTTTGGGAAAATGGTCTTTGTCATTGTTGCCTATAAATCCCCCACCCTATACATAGCTATAAAAGGCCTCCTGATTTCTCAGAGGTATTCATAGTAATACAATGGGACAGTCCTGAAATCTGCCACAGGGGACCTCTAATTACATCTGTGCTAGAACTTATTTTTTCTCAAATCTCTTTTTCTTATTCCCCAATCCAAATTCTTTGAGATGTCTTGCTTTCTCTTTACATTATTGCTTTACTTATTAGATTCCTGTGAACTGTGACTATTACATTGAGCTGAAAATCATCTGGTTTTGTGCAGTTATTTTTCCCTGAATTTGCAGAGGTTAACTTTTCACTACCCATATTTCATTGTTCAAAACCTATTTTACTCTTCATATCTTTTGCATTTTTTATTAAAAAGCACATGCATGTGTATACTCATTTGATGTAATACTATTCAGTCCTAAAGTCAAGTTAGTTCAAATTAAACCTCTACTTCTAGGGTGTTGAACAAGAAAGTAAAATGTCTGAAGGAAAAAATACCTATACTGCAGTTAAACTGTATGCTTTTATCCTTCAAAGCAGTTGTTAACTGGAAATCTTTTTCTGCATTGTACAAAGCTACACTATCCTCTAAAATGGGTCCTGCCACTTTTTTAAAAAACATTTGCCATATGTTAGATGCATAAGTACTTAAGATTTTGCTTCTCATGCTATTTTTTGAAAAATTCTCTTTAAGCATTTGTTAAATACTGAATAACTTGCAAAATATAGTTCAAAGGGAATATTTATTGCAAAGAAGATATACATGTAGTATGTTTACAGAGTTTTCCATGAGTGTGAAATTCAAAATATTTCAGGAATGCTGCCAGCTTTTAAAAAAATATTGTCTGGGGCGGATGGGCGTTGTGTTGTGTGTGTGTGTGTGTGTGTGTTTTTTTTTTTTTTTTTTTTTTTTTTTTTTTTTTTTTTTTTTTTTTTTTTTTAGCTTTAATTTTATTGTTCTATCCAGTATTGTTTTCACTTTGTTTTATTAGGGTAAAAATGAATACTTCTTTCAGTTGGATGTTGCTGGGAAGGTGGAAGATGTTATACAGACTCTGCTTCAGGTACACACTTTTAGCTTCAAGTTATAATACAGAAAGAGTCTGTCTTCAAAGCAAATAGTTTGAACAGTTTTATATTCAGAAGGCAAATAGGTTGGAGTACCCTAGTTCAAATACCCTAAGCAAATGGCATATTTCTAAAAACTGTTTTGCACTTCCCTTTTATAAAAACTTTCATTTCCTGGTAGCAGTTGATTGTAAAGAAACTGTTAACAAAACTTTGAAATGGTTATCTCTATCTTTAAAGTAAATGACTGAATCTTCTCTTTGCATTCTGTCTACAAGACTACGGTGTGTCCTCTGTGCTCTTACTTGACTTCTGAATTGTCAGAAAACAGATTTAGTCCTATATGGTATTTGTTTCTTCACCCACACTGATTTCTCTCTAAAATAGCTTTACAGGGCCTCTCATCTGGATGAACTGGGAGATCAGGCTGCCATGGTAAACTTTTGACACCTCCTATGAGCATGCTTTTATTGATGTTGATGCAACTGCAATTAGGAACATAAAAAACTTTACCCTTCTTTCATTAGATAACTGCTATATTGCAGTCACGTTTGGCTAGAACATCATTTGATAAGAACAGGTATGTTTTCAATAACTTATTTTTTGTGCTTTTGTACTGCACATTTAGTTCATTTTTGATGCTAGAATTAATTTTAGCTTTGAGCAAATGCTTATTAACTACAGCATAAGTACTTTAATATAGAACATTTTACTTAGGCTTGCATTATGGTCCAGAACTGTAGCACGTTATGTTCAGCATGAGCCACATGCAGCTGTTAAGGGTTACATTGAGGATCCTGGGCTCTTGCCCAGCAGTACATGCTCTCCAGTTGGAGTCTCTGGGCTCTCCCTTCCTCATCCAGCTGCTGTTTTCTGCCCCTGGCCCAGGGGTCTGCGCAGTGAAGTAACATAGGGAGCTGGGGGTGAGCCTGGGGCCTGCAATGCAGAGAGGGGGTTGCGGGCAAGTGCTGGAGCAGAAGGGAGGCGGTTTCTCAGGCATGCATTGCAGCAGAGGGGAGAGGGTTCATGGGTGTGCTGTGCAGTAGAGGGGAATGGAGTGTTTACGGGTTCACTAGGTGGGTAGGTTACATGGTGCAGAGGCTGGTGGGAAGGGAGTGTCTGTGTGTGGCCTGGGGGTGGGGTAGGGTGGGCCTGGGTCACCCTGGTGCAGCCTGTGAGGTGTGCAGCCTCTGCTAGTGTGGCTTCTGGGGGATATGACTCCTAGCCACTTTGAAGTTAGGCAGCCCTGCTATAGAGGATAGTAAGTCCTCCAGTATCCAAGGTAAATCTTACAATTTATACTTCAAAACGTCTTTCTTTTTAATTTGCAAGTTATTTGGCACAAATGTAAAATAAAAAAAAAAATGAAATGGGGGGGGGGGGGTGGGGGGGGTGTGTGTGTGTGTGTGTGTGTGTGTGTGTGTGTGGAGCTGCCAGTGCACAGACTTGATAGCTGCATCGGAATATAATAGAGAGGTGTAAGAATTTTGTGCTTTACAGGAGGAAAAATAACTGTGAGGAAAGAACTTTGTTAAATATTCTCAGGGTACTTTTTTTTAGGTATGCAGTAAGGTGCTCATAAAAATATTTCTAGAGCAGTTTAAAAGACCATTTCAGTTGAGCAGGAACAAAGACTGGTAAACTTATTCCTGCTTTCTTATAGATTTCAGAGCATTTCTGAAACGTTGCATATGGAATGTGAAGCAGAAATGGTGACGCCATTAGTGACTAATCCAGGTCATGTGTGTGTCACTGATGCAAACCTGTATTTCCAACCTCTGAATGGGTATCCAGTAAGTAATTAGCTAGGAAATACATGTATGGCTTCTCCATCCTCCTCTCCTATGAAACCTATAACTTATTCCTCATAAGAAAACCTGCTATAAGAACACATGATAAAGAGCCAAGTTAAATCTTCTTGGATGCTGATGAAAAATGTATAGCTGTTTTCCTCAAATTTACATAGTCTCTTCACATAGTGTAGAGGACAAGCACTATTGTAAGCTTAGAATGAGGTTTATAACAGATCTTGGTACATTGTGAATGCAGAATGATGAAGTATGTATGATCCACTGCCAGCTGGTGCTTTACATTAGAGATGTTATTTCATGTTTGTCCATAAGGTGGTATCAGTAGCTAGGAAGCTGACTCTTTCCATATTCTGACAATTTCCTGATTTTTTTTGTCTTCTATAACTCTGACTAGTGTCTTTTTAGGACAGAGGTTAGAAATAAACAATGGAGTTGCCACTTAACTTACCTTTAAGATCAAACAGCTGGCAATAGCAAAACAGTTATTATTAAAGTAACTATTTAGTGGCAGAGAAATAAGAATGACGTATGCAAATGATATCAGATGTTGTATCTCTCCAATAGAGAGAAACCTTTATAATTCTAAAATTGATTAGTGTAGTACTGCTTATGTAGTACTAATGGCCTTGGCACTTCCTTAATTATTACCCTACAGAAACCTGTGGTGCAAATAACATTGTACAATGTCCGTCGCATCTATAAAAGACGACATGGTCTAATGCCAGTGGTAAGCTGTAGGTTTTTATTTCTAGTTTCATGCATTGCTAATACCAGTCAGACTTTCTCTGAAATTGCAGGTGTTAGTTGATGGGGCGGAAGAGGGAAGGTATTTTAGAAGTACAGGCCTGCATTTCTTCTTGCCACTTAGAATGTATTTATTCTCATTGAGTTGACAAAGTAGAAATCAAAAGCAGAGAGAGACTGCAAACTGTCTACCTGGAGAATAAAGGGACCTCTTTCATGGCTACATTGATTATTTCAGTTTGGTGTAATTGAAAACTAAGCCAGGTGTTAAGGCTGGTAAAAAGTTGCTTAAACAATTTTATTTAATGTGTGAATTGGGATCAAAATTTAACTGCATTCCCACATTCTTTTAATCTGTAGTGCAGTTCTGCACTGAAGTAATACCGACTTCTTCCATTTATCATAATGTCTTTGGGACTACACAGTGAATTTACTGGCTTCAGAAAGCTGAAATACGTGGTCAGCTTATTAAACATTGGTATCCCTAATGACTTTTCAAACAATATATTCCTTTGCATTGTAACTATATCAGTAAATGTCAGCTGAAAGATGCCCTACAACTTCAGTGAACGGGGAAGAAATTGCATTAGGTGATGTGATACGACTGTGAGGAATGGGAAAGAGGTGGTACAAAGTTTAGCTGTGGAGTCCTAGTTGCATTCTTTCACAGATCTGGTTTTTAACATGATATAAATGGAAAGTCTACTCTTTTTTAAACTAGGGGGGAAGGATGGCTGACTGGGTTTTTTTTGTTTTTTGTGGGGGTTTTTTGTTTGTTGTTTTTTCCCCAGCTACATGCCTGATGGATCCAAAGGGCTTACTTTGATTCTGTCCTATAGGACGTATTTTATATGGAGTCCTTAAACTGACTTCAATCTCTTGTGTGGGCAGGGGAGGAATATTTATAAATAGCAAAATACTTGGACAAAACTGCTGCCAAATTCAGTGGGAACAACTATAACCTAAGATCAGTAACTGAAATTAGTCACTAATGCGCTATTGTTGAATTTTAGACTTTAATTTTTTCTTCCTTCAATTTCTAAGGGACTAGAAGTATTTTGCACAGAAAATGACCTCTGTTCTGACATCTACTTAAAATTCTACAACCCTCAAGATCGAGATGAGCTGTATTTCTATATTGCAACGTATTTAGGTGTGCACTGTTTTGTTTTGTTCTGTTTTTAATGTTCTCCTTTCTCTGGGAGGGGTTTGGGGGTGGGGAGGAACAACTTAGATTCTGTTTTGATGTGTGGGAGGAAGTAGAAATATTAAATAGTTGTGACCTGACATGTCTAAAAATATATTCTGGGTTGGAGGAGGCAAAGTCTGAAATGAATGTTACAGTGCTGCCTGTAGCTACTTTGTGACATTCTTCTATTATTAGAACTATATCTGGAAGCTCAGATAATAGTGCTTTATTGAAAGTATGGAGGGTTGTTTTTTTTTTTTCTGGTTAATCAACTTGCTACTAACTCTTCAGGGTGAGAGGAGCTTAATGGACTTTGCTTTCATAGCATGGGATAACATACAGCTGAGCTGATCATTATTTATTGGAAGTGTTTTAGTTGAAGTCATAGAAAGTCTACTTTGAACTGAGCCTGTAGCTAGAAAAAGGAAATAGGTTTGCAGTTAATTTAGCTGATATCTGAGCTGGCAAAACTTTGGCATTTCATTAACTCAGTCCTCATGTCTAGTAAATCCTGTGCATGTTCATTCTTGGGGATGCCATGATGACAGGTAGCACGTACTCCTCAAGTATATATATTTAGACTTAATGAGAAATAGCCAATGCCACAAAAGGGACAACAGTAATGTAATCTGGAAATGTTCTGTCAGCTCAGTCAGTTTTTTTCCTTTAAGAGTTTTCCTTGCATACCCATACTTAGAACTTTTTTTTTGTTTGATTGTGGGATTAGGGCAGTTTAGAATTTTTGGACAGATTAGTCCTTTTAGTAAACTTCCTCCTTCCTGTGTGCTGGTGATGTTCTGTTTTCATCCTTTCTACTTGTCTTGGTGTCCTTGAAATAAGATGTCCTTTATGGTAAAGTGAGGCCACATTTTCCAACCATATGTCAAGTAGGTATCCTTAGTTGCTCAGCTGTAGAAAATAAGACTTAGGCTCTTAAATGTTTTATCAATGCTAAGATGATTCATGTTCTATTATTTTCTTACCTTAACAAATGTATAGTCTTTCCTTTCTCTCCATTCAATCAATCCTTGATGTTTTCTACTACATAAGAAGTGCCATACCGAACTAGACCAATGGCCCATCTACCCAAAAGCCTGTCTCTGATTATAACAAGATTGGATGCTTTAGAGGGAGAGCATTGAACTGCATGTCCCTGGACTAATCTATCTCCAATTCATTACCCTGCCTGGCATCCACCATTATTGGTTAAGAGATGCCAGAGGAAAATGTCGAATCATTCTGTTCAACAGCTATTAATAGATCTATCATCCGTCCATTTTCCTAGTCCCTTTTTGACCCTGGCTATGCTATCTGCTTCTACCATCTCCTGCTGCAATGAATTCCGTAAGTTAGTTACTCATTGCATGAGAAAGTACTTTCTCTTGTTGGTTTTAAATTGGTTACCTAATTTTTTAGTGGGTAACCACTATTCTAGTATTCTGGGACTTGCTAAATAATGCTTCCATCCATGTAGTCCACATCTCCTTCTTGCTCCCGCTTCCTGTCCCATGCCTGCCTTCCCCGCCGCCCCCCCCCGCCTTCGCCTTTCCAAATTGAAGAGTTCTAGCCTTTTTATTCTCTCCTGGTATGGCAAATCCTCTCTCCCCCTGTTCATTTTGGTTGTCCTTCTGTGTACCTTTTTTAATTCTTCTACCATATTTGGAGATGCAGAGACCAGAACTGCATGTGGTATTCAAGATATGGGCACACCATAAATTTGTATAATGGTATTCTCCGTTTTGTTTTCAGTTGACTTCTTGATGATATCCATCAACTTGCTGGCTTTTTTGGTCGCCCCTGCATGTTTAGTTGATGTAGGTAGTTCTCTAAAAACAATAACGCTGAGGTCTTTCCTGAGTTGTAACAGCTAGTTCAGAACCGAGCATTGTGTACATATAGTTCAAGTTATTTTTCCCCATATGCATTACCTTGAACTTGTCATAACTGAAGTCCTTTCACCATGTTTGCTCACTCTTAACTTGGTGAAATCTTTCTGCAGCTCCTTTACATCACCTTGGGATTTGATTACCTGGAATAATTTGGTATCATCTGCAAACTTGGGGATTTCACTCTGCATCTGCATTTCCAGGTCACTGATGAAAATGTTTAATAAAATTGGGCTCAGCACAGATCCCTTTAGGTGCCTCACTTTTAACCGCTCTCATTCTGTAAAGTAACCATTTAGCCCTACACTTTACTTCCTGCCTTTTAACCAGCTCTCAGTCCACCAAAGAAGCTTCCCTTCAGTCCTGTGGCAATGCAATTTTTTTAAACGTCTGTGGTGAGGGACCATATTGACAGCTTTTTGAAAATCCAAATATATTATATCAATATAATAGAACCTAATGAGGGCTTTAAACTACATTCGCCGGGGGATGGAGACCAAAGTCCTGAAGTAGGTGACCTGGAGGAAGCACAAGCAGGAGGGGTCAACAGTGGAGGCCTTTTCATTCTTCCTGAGAAAGTAGGGCAATTGGCTAGTTATCTTCAATGTCTGTACTCGAATGCACGGAACCTGGGGAACAAGCAGGAAGAACTGCAAGTCCTCACGCAGTCATGGAACTACGATGTGATGGGTGGAATAGCTTGTATGACTGGAGCACTGTCATGGGTGGGTATAAACTGTTCAGGAAGGACAGGCAGGGGAGAAGAGGAGGAAGAGTTGTGCTTTATGTAAAAGCTGTATAATTGGTCAGAGCCTCAGTATGAAACTGGAGATAGGCCTGTTGAAAGTCTCTGGGTTAGGGTCAGAGGGAAGAGCAGCAAGGATGATGTCGTGGTGGGTATCCGATAGACCACCAGGCCAGGAGGATGTGGTGGACGAGGATTTCTTTAAACGGCTAGTGGGAGCTTCTAGATCACAGGCCCTGGTTTTCATGGGGGACTTCAGTCAACCTGACATCTGCTGGGAGGGCAATACAGCAATGCACGGGCAATCCAGGAAGTTTTTGGAGCAGGTGGGGTTAGCAAGTGTTGGAGAGGCCAGCTGGGGGCCATGCTGTTCTTGACCTACTGCTCACAAACAGGGAAGAATTGGTGGGGAACATAAAAGTGGATGGCAGCTTGGGCAGCAGTGACCACGAGATGATTCGAGTTTAGGATTCTGAGGAAAGAAAGGACAAAGACAGCAGATGCAGGGAATCTGGTAGATAGGAAGGCTTAGCTAGTATGGCAGAAGACCAGCTTGGCTTAACAGGGCACTCTTCCGTGAGCCAAAACACAAAAAGGAAGCTTAGAAGAAGTGGAAACTTGAACAAACAATTTAGGGAGGGATATAAGTATTGCTCGGGCATGCAGGGATGAAATCAGGAAGGCCAAAGCATAATTGGAGTTGCAGTTAGCAAGGAACATGAAAGGTAAGAGGTTTTTACAAATATGTCATTGACAAGAGGAAGATTAGGGAAAGTGTAAGTCCCTTACTGGATGGGGGAGGCAACCTAGTAACATGATGTGGAAAAGGCTGAAGTACTCAATGCCTCTCTCTTTCACCCCAGTCTTCACAGGCAAGGTCAACTCCCAGACTACCACATGGCAGCAGTTTGGGGAGGAGGTGAGCACCTGACAGTGGTGAAAGAACACGTCCATGGGGCCAGACATGCACCCAGGGGTGCTGAGGGAGTTGGCCAATGTGATTGCAGAAATGCTGTCCTATCTTTAAAAACCCATGGCGATTGGGAGTGGTCATGGAGAATTGGAAAAGGGCAAATGTAGTGCCCCTTTTTAAGAAAGGGAAGGGGGAGGATCCAGAAAACTACAGACTGGTCAGCCACACCTCAGTCCCTGGAAAAATCATGGAGTGGGTCCTCAAGGAATCTATTTCTAAACATGTGGAGGAAAAGGTGATTAGGAACAATCATCATGGATTCACCAAGGCCCTGACCAACCTGATTGCATTCTCTATGGATGTGGGGAGAGCAGTGGGTATGATATACTTTGATTTTTAGAAAGGCTTTTGATATAGTCTCCCACAATATTCTCGCAAGGAGACTATAGAAGTATGGGTTAGATGGATAAACTGTAAGGTGGATAGAAAACTGGTGGGATTGTCAGGCTCAGGGGGTAGTAATCAATGGCTCAATGTCTAGGTGGTAGCCGGTATCAAGTGGAGTGCCCTAAGGATTGATCCTGGTGCCAGGTTTGTTCAATACCCTCATCAATCACCTGGAAGATGGGATGGAGTGTACCCTCAGCAAGTTTGCAGATGACACCAAGATGTGGGGAATAGTAGATTTGATGGAGATAGAGCTAGGATTCGGAAACCGCAACAAATTGGAGGATTGGACCAAAAAATTTGCATGAAGTTCAGTATGGACAAGGGTGAAGTCCTGCACTTAGGACTGAAAAATCCCATGCACTGATCCAGGCTGAGGACTGACTGGCTGGGCTGCAGCTCTGCAGAAAAGGACCTGAGGGTTACGGTGGAAAGTAAGCTGAATAGAAGCCAACAGCATGCCCTTGTTGCAAAGAAGGCTAATGGCATACTGGACTTCATTAGTCTAAGTGTTGCCAGCAGATCAAGGGAAGTGATTATTCCCCTCTATTCTGCACTGGTTAGGCCACATCTGGAGTACTGTGTCCAGGTCTGGATCCCCCACTACAGAAAGGATTTGGATAAGTTGGAGAGAGTCCATCAGAGGGCGACAGAATGATTAGGGGGCTGGGGCACAGGCTGAGGGAACTGGGCTTATTTAGTCTGGAAGAAAGAAGACTGGGAGTGCGGGTGTGGGGATTTAATAGCAGCTTTCAACTACCTGATGGGTGGCTACAAATAGGATAGAGCTAGACTGTTCTCAGTGGTGGTAGATGACAGAACAAGGGACAGTGGGCACTTTCACAGGTGCTTCAGGGTTGGGGGAGTAGTGCTTTAGAAAGGCTCCCAGAGCTGCTCTAATTAAAGCACATCTGAAGTTTGTGCCCCTGCTGCCATTTTTAAGCATGGGGACACAAGACATGGGAAGCTGCTGGAGCTCAGCAATTGATTAACAGAGTCTGCTCTGATGCACTGGAATTCCAGAACATAGGAGCAGCCTCCCTGCTTGTGTATAGGTGCCCAGTGGCCTCAAGTTGAAGTCAACAAAGTTTAAGTTAGATATTAGGAAACACTTTCTCACTAGAAGTGTAATAAAGCACTGGAACAGATTACTGAAAGAGGTTGTGGAATCTCCATCCTTGGAGGTTTTTAAGACTTGGATAGACAAAGCCTTGGCTGGGATGAATTAAGTGGGGATGGTCCTTGTTTGAGCAGGAGGTTGGACTAGATGCCCTCCTGAGGTCTCTTCCAACCCTCGTTTTCTGTGAGTTTATAATGGGATCCCCCTCTTCCACATGCTTGTTATGCACCTCAAAAAAAAAAAAAAAAAAAAAAAAAAAAAGTTTGAGCAGATTTGTGAAGCAGGATATCCCTTTACAAAAACAAAGACTTTTTTCCCCAGCACAGATCACTTCTGTCCATGCGACTGATTTTTATTCTTTATTTTGGATCCTACCAATTTGCCAGGGATAGAAGTGGGGCTAACTGGTGCTCTTTGGAGCTCTTTTTGAAGATGAGTGTTATTTTGCTAACCTTACAGTTCTTGGGCACAGACTGTTTTTAATGATAGTTTACATACTATTGCTAACAGTTCCTACAACTTCACCTTTGAGTTCCTTGAGAACCCTTGAGTGACTGCCATGCAGTCCTGGTGACTTATAGCATTTAATTTATCAATTCATTCTAAAACTTCTGTCATCGCTTCAGAGTGGTCCAACTCTTCAGTCCTATTTACTAGGAAGGAGTGTTCTGGCATTGGAATTTCTTCAGTATTTTCTGTGGTAAAAAGTGGTTCAAAGAATGCTTTTAGTTTCTCTGCTATGACCTTATCCCTGAGTGCATCTTTTACACCCTGGTCATGTAATGGTCCCACTGATATATTCATTCATTCAGGATTCCATCTAGAATTGCTTCTTCTCTTCTAATATAAGATGTTTAGAGTCACTTGATTAGCTCTTTTTGGAAAGATCTGGTATAATAGGAATTGAAGTGTATAGTTGCCATAGGTTTTAATCTGACCCTTTTAAATTATTATGCTTGGATAAATGACTGGGAGATCACTTATCCAAGCATAGTTAGTTAAGTATCTTAAAATGGAAACCGGCTAAACAAAGGTTTTACTGTGTGATTTTTCTTTTTTATAGAAAACCATATTGCAGAACACACAGCTGAAAGTTACATGTTACAATGGCAGCGAGGGCACATTTCAAACTACCAATATCTTCTTCATCTCAACAATCTAGCTGATCGGAGCTGCAATGATCTATCTCAGTATCCTGTATTTCCTTGGATCATAGCAGATTATTCTAGTTCAGAATTAGGTAAGTAGATATTCTTCTTTGTATTTTTTTTTTTAATAATAAAAAAGCTGCACTTGATGTAAGAACTGCTGCTTTTACATCACTTAAAACACAAGCAACATCAACAAGAAATTGAAGGTTGACAAACGGGATGCTGATCTCTATGCATATTTTTTTACTCATACGGTTCTTATATTTTCTAATGCAAGGCATGTTGGGATTGATTATCCCATCCACAAAATGAAGTAATATTTAATAGAAGTACTAAGTGTCAACATTCTAGACCAGTTAAATGCCTAATAAAGTTTATTTTGTTTTCCCCCATAATTTGTTTCCAGTGAATTGATAGCAATGGCTTGTTAGTCTTGCATGAATTTAAAAAATTAATTTAAAAAAAACTTACCGAATCCAGGTGTTGCCAAAATATGAGGTTAATTTCTCCAGAAATGCTCAGAAAGGCCTAATGCATAAAACTGTATGACAGAATTTAATACTATTGGTTTCTTGGGTAAATCTCTCATAGCAAACTTGTGTTGCCGTCAAGTTTTCTCTCTTGAGAATCTGGCTGCCTCTGCCACTTAATAGGCTTGACATGTCTTTGCCTGCTGCATGGAAGGAAAGAAGGGGAATCTAATAGTGTTTCTAGCTACCATTCACACCTCCTTTCAAAGTGTTGTCATGACACAAAATAATGTCAAGTTGCTTAAGGAGCGGAGGAGAAATATGCCAGTTAGTTGTGCCTTAATGTTATTGAGGTCATATGGAGAGTGAGATGTTTGCCTAATTCCCAGCACTGTGAAACTCATACTAGCAAAACCCAACTCCAAAGCTTTCTGTTGTGTAAGACTTTTCAGTAAGCGAGCAAAACACTAATGTGAAGAGCACAAATAGCCATTTATTGTGAGACTCCTTTGTTCTTCTGCAAGTAGACAGGATGAAAAAGTGCTTTTTATAAAATTTAATTGCATTTCTCTTTCAGATTTGACAAAGCCTGAAACATTCCGGGACCTTAGTAAACCAATTGGTGCGTTGAATAAGGAAAGGCTAGAAAGATTACTGGTATGTGACATTTGGGTTTTCTTTCAATTTGTGATGGTCATCTCAGTAATAAGAGAACTCCAAGCTCCTAGCTTTATGTAATCAAATGTGTGAAGATTAAACTTAACACAGTACAGAAATGAACAGGCTTGTGTGATGTATTAACTCTAGGGTGATTTTTCTGTAATTGGACTGTAAATATTACTAGAAACAAACTTTACCTTAATCTAGTATACTGTGGCATAATTTCTGTGAAATATTCCCTTGTATTTAGCTGCAAAGTATATGAAAATACCACTTTAACCAGCGATTTTCTTTTTTGGAGCAACTTAACATATATACATTAGCCATTGCAAAGCAGCAAGTATTCCAATTTGGATTTGGCCGATTATTGATGGGGGGGGGCATGCCTCTTGCTGCTCTGTGCCCCCTGGGAGGGCTGGGGGACTTGGATTCTTCCCGGGGGTGCTTGCCCCCTGGATCTGGTGTGGGATGACAGCAGTCTGCTGCTCCAGGCTGTGGCCGGTGGTGGTATGGGGCTGTTCCTGGCGCTCGGTGCGTCCTCCCTGAGCACCAGGAAGAAGCAGCCTGGTGCTGCTGCCAGCCCAGGTCTGCAGTGGCAGAAACCTGATAGCCTAATTTCTGAATTGGCCATGAATCTCTCCAAATTGATTCTGAGGTTTCTGATTTCAATTTGAACCTCTTAACGGGTCTTCTGATTCAATTTGGATTTGGAGATTCAGCTGCCAAATCTCCTCTGAAACAAATTGGCTACTGAAGCTTCACACAGTCCTAATGTACACACAACTCTGAAAGATCGTTAGTCTATTCTTTCTAAATTCTTGTCTTTCCACATAACTGAAAATCCTGGTGTATTCTTATGGGTAAGGACCACTTATAATTCAGACTTCAGTGGATTTCAGGGGAAAGCCCAAAATTCAGCGTTTCCCTCAAAGCCGCAGGAAACTGCAATTTGGCTGGAAATGGTCTAAAACCATGGGGGAGGAAAGGGGGTCAGGCAGGCAGCAGAGCCCCAGAAACGCCTGAAGCCTCATATTTCCAGGGGCAGTCTAGTACCAATCAAGTTGTTGACTTCCCCACTTTGCAGGGGCTGCGAGCATAGCCATGCCAGGTGCATGCCCCCACAGCTGGGTATGGAGCACAAGGTGCCTCTGCCACAGGGGCTTCTCCCTATCTGGTACAGCTCTCCCGAGCCCTGCTTTGCTTTGCTGCCACATTGGAGCAAAGGGGAGTTTCCCCCTTCCCTTCTCTGCATGGCGGGGAAGAGCAGGGCTTGGGAGACCTGTGCCAGGTGGGGAGAAGCCCCTGTGATGGGGGCACCCTGCACCCCATGCCCAGCTGTGGAGGCAAGCACACAGCATGGGTCTCCTGAGCCCTTCTGTGTTCTACCATGGAGAGAAGGGGAGGGGGAAATTTGCAGCAGTGGACTTTGAGGGTCAGCGTCCCATAAAACTTGGCACTCAAAGGTTGTTGTTTAATAATGTTTAATTATTGTGGTTTCATTAAGAATTCTAAGCGGTCAGCTTTGTTTAGTAGGTGATGAGCTTTACTTTCTTAAAACAGCTGAAGAACAGCCTGTGTACTGCTGTTCAGTGGTAATCAGCCCCATGGTGGGCTCCTTCAGCCAATCAGAGGTATGGGAGAACCTGCCCTGAAAAACACAAGAAATTGGCTCCAGTGAGCCTGCTTTTCCCTGCACCAAAGCCTGAATTACAGTGGTCCCTACTTAAAGGTATAAATAAAGTGTTCCTTGGATCTTCAGTTGAAGAGTAGAAACATACTTTAATAGTTATCTGTATGTTTTCAAACTCTTTAACTTCCTTAGTGCTCTAAGATGCATTGGACAGGGAAAATTTTGCCATATCAATAATAACTTTATTGCTAGAAATGAGAGAGGTTTTAAAGTAGAAAAGGCTCTAAATGAAGTTTTTGGCTGCTTCCCACTGATTCCCTATACCCTGTTTTAGAAAAGGTATGAGGAGTCTTGTATGCCACTCTGCTTCTCACCCAGGGATTGGGACAACAGGAGAAGCCACTGATTCCCATGCCTTCCCCAGATCAGGTTCACTAAAGGTACAGAGAGAAGGGGCGAGGGGGCAGCTGTAGGCTGAAGCTCTTGAAAAGATTTTACTGGGAAATTCTCAGATTTCCACTAGAAAAAATAAAGGCTACAGACAAGTTGTTCCGCATTATGTGAAGCAAGCACAAGAACAGTGTCACCCTTAAGAATGGATTTTCCTGCATCCAAAGTCAAGATTTAATTATGCTCTGAAGTAGATAATGGATTTATAAATATAGCAATGTATCCTTGTTGCAGAAAGTATTTTGAATATAGCAGCTTTGGTTTTAGAGGACTGAGACACCTTTTGTTGCCAGCAACTGTATTGTAAACTTAGGCTTCACCTTCAGAATAATTGCTCGTTTTGCTCCTTCTAACTTGAATAAAAAGCTGTTTCACCTGCTTGGAAACTTGGCCAAATTTTTGGTCTATGTTCATGATTGGTGAAAAAACAATATAACCTTTTTTTTTTTTTTTCAAAATCTGAAGGAGCTTTAACACTAAACGTATGGAAGTGGTTTGGCATGCAGAAAAGCAAACTGCCAACCTGGGCGCTCTGTTCTGTAATTGTTTGCAATTTACTACTACTTGCGTACAACTTTTCTACATATTCTAAAGCGCAGGAACCAGTATTAACAAGAATACAGTTCACTAACAGTGTACTGCATTTTAACTGAAGAGAAAAGAGTATTTAATCCTGGCTTAAATCTTAAAAACAGCATGTGTGCTTGTTTTGTACTAGGGAGGTGGGGAAAAAAATCTGTATTTCTATTTTAAGCAGTATATCTTTCTTCTAATGTTGCAGACACGTTATCGGGAAATGCCAGAGCCAAAATTTATGTATGGCAGCCACTACTCCTCTCCAGGTTATGTTCTGTTTTATCTTGTCAGAGTTGGTAAGATGGCTTTCATACCAAGTCTTTTGCACACAAAATATCGTTGAAAATAGAATTTGGATAGATCTGATTTTTGTTCCTCTCTCCCCAGCACCAGAGTACATGCTTTGTTTACAAAATGGAAAGTTTGACCATGCTGATAGAACGTTCAACAGGTTTGTTTAAATTTAGTATTAAAATTAGATTTTTTCACTGCTGAAATAGCTTGCTCTAAAATATAAATTTAGGTAAGAGAGCTTTGAAATTAATTTGACTCATCAGTATCTCATTCTATTGTGTCTAGTATTGCAGAAACCTGGAAAAACTGTTTGGATGGTGCAACAGACTTCAAAGAAGTAGGTAGCCAGAAGCTTTCCCAAGTCACATTCACTAATTTCTCTGTGCTTAAAATTTTCTTTTCCAAAATTAATTTTTGAGCTGCTTCCATACTGAGATAAAACTGCCTTGTGTGTGTTTGATATTGGGGAGGACTTTTAATATTCTCCTTAGGCACACATCACTTCCTGTGGCCTGGATCTTTTCCTTCTCTCCTTGTTAAGTAGTAATATCATTGTTGTTCTGTCATGTGGATATTTTAGTAAAAATCATGCAGGTATGGCCCCTGACAGGCATTTAGTTAAAGGAATGATGGGTTATGATCCCCAATCTCAATAATAGCACCTCCTGCCATGCTACAGATACGTGGCATGAGGTGCAATTGTGAGTTTGGGGATCAGATCCCAATTGTGCCACATTGTACAGTAGTAAGCCAGTCAGCTGATCAGCCCTCCCAACCTTGGGAGCACAGTGGAGTCAAGGGATCCAGCATGCTACCGAGGTGGGAAGTCCTGATCAGCTGATTGGCCACACATTCCAATGGGATCCAGCCACTTTGTTTAAGAATTTGTAGATTATTCCCTGTTTTATCACTTCATTAATTGAATGAACATGCAGTTGGGTTACTACTGAAGATCTGATTTAATTGGTTAACTGTGTCTTAAGTGTAATGTCTGCCAGGGAATGCGTTTGTGCTAAGCTCCTGTTCCAGCTAAATGTCACTGGATATTTGAAGTATCGGGTACATGCTTAGTGCTGGTAAACTATGCTTCTTTGACAGTAGAGATGGGATTGACAATGCAGCTTTTCTTAACATTAACAGTTAAGGTGTGATCTTGGACAACTGATTTAAATGAAATAACATTTTTTTTATAGATTTACTTGATCATGAAAACCTTATCTTGATGTGCTTACTGAAAGTTTCTTCAGTGTCTAAGATGAATCTTGCCAGGCTTAACTTTTATTTTAATCTAAGTTTGAACTTTGCAGTGTTTTATAATATGCTTTATACATTAGTAGTCTTTTAAAATATTTTTATATAGTTAATTTCAAATGATAAAATATATCTCCATTTCTCCCTCTTGTTGCTTCCAGCTGATTCCAGAATTTTATGAAAATGATTCCAGTTTTCTAGTAAATGGTTTGAAGCTGGATTTGGGCAAAAGACAGGGAGGAAAGATGGTTGAAGATGTAGAACTTCCTCCATGGGCATCAGGTAATGACATTTTTGGATGGTTTACCATCTCATTACTGCAGACAACTTATCTTTGTTCTCATACTTCTACATTTTTTTTCACACCCCCATCCTAAATATTCCTGTTTTATTTTCAGTTACACAACTTATTTAAATGTAGGAATAATTTAAGGTAGGCAAGGTTCTAGTCTAAATAATGTAGGAGTAATCTAAGGTGACTATTTTCTGATTCAAGGTCATAATTTGAAGTCATGTTCTTGATTTTTTTTTTCCAGTGCTGGCAAATAGTTGAAAGGTGCCAGATGATAATTTTAATAGCATATCTACAGTGTGCTTCCCTGGAGGAGCAGCAGGGATGACCACAATGGTTTATCTATGTTAAGCAGGTAACCTTCTGTACTGATTAAACTTCCATTTGTTAGATCCTGATGACTTTCTTCAGAAGAGCCAAGATGCTTTAGAAAGCCAGTATGTGTCAGAACATCTTCATGAATGGATAGACTTAATATTTGGCTACAAGCAAAAAGGAAGTGAAGCTATTGGAGCTCACAATGGTAAATTTATAATTCTTTAATGTTTGGGGTTTTTTTGCCTTTTAGAGAATCATTTAATATGAAAGAGAAAAATAGCAAAGTGGTCCCAACTCCCCATCGTTCTTTGCAACATAAATGTTACTTTACTTTGTTCTCAAAGTTCTTGAGGAAGCAGCATTCCTTCTCACTGGAAACAGTGACTCCTGAAGCTTGCTTACTTTCTGGTAATGTTGTGCAGCACCTACATAGAATAAGTTAAGGGGAAAATGCATTTTTTTTCTTTGTGATATGACACCTGGTAGCAATGTGGTGCTGATATAATCTCATGCAGTTAAAAAGGGCTGTGGGAGTCTGTAACTTGGCCCACAGACAGTGTGTTCCCATTTCTGTCCAGAAACTGCTGCATGAAAATTAGCTTTGTTAACGCTGGCTTCTGAGAAGAAAACCAGGAGGTTTCTAGGGAATCGGAGAAAATGGAAAGGTTAAGTAAGTTGCTGGACTTCTTGGACTACTGTATAGTATCAGATTGTTTGTTTGCAGTCTTATTTAGTAAGTTGTTTTACTCTCATCTGGCTATAATTAGGCCAGATAATTGATGCTGTATATGTTAAGAGATGTTTTTTGTTCCAAGTAATTGGAAATAGTTGCAGCATTGACTGGTCTCTTTCCATGATGTAGTTCTCTGAAGGAAAATATTAAAGGGAAATTTAAACATTGCCAGTTGAGTAGTTCTACAATCTGATGCTAAGTATACTTGGTTGCTTTGATTAGTGCTTAAGTCATGTGGTAGCCATGATGTTCAGGAAAAATGTGAGAGGCTAGGCTTCCTGTTTGTGATAGTTTTTATTATCCCAACTGCATGGGTGGAATTGACTTAAGCTTTCAAATACAAGGCATTCTTCAGATATGAGGGAAAATCAGGCTCAGCAAAAGATTAAAAACAGTTTTCAGGGCTCTGCAATTAGAGAAATTCCAAGAAGGGTAGTAGACAAATAAATAATAGAGTCCTTGGCTGCTTTAATATGTTCACTGTATTCTAATGAGGAAACACACCTTTTTTTTTTATCAAGTCAATACCTTTATCTGTCCTAAGTAGCTTCTCTGCACACCTCCTCATGTCCCTATTTTAAGTTTTATGTAGCTTTAATTTAAGGAAGAGATGGCCACGTGATGCGCATGGTTTGCTAAAATTCTTCATGCTATGTTTGTTTTGTTTGTTTTGTTTGTTTTGTTTGTTTGATATGCATCATTTCCAGTGTTTCACTCAGTGATTCTCAGCTGGGGCTCCTTGAGATCCTTGCAAGGATGCCATGAGTGCTAGCACTGTTAGGTGTGTAAACATTAATCACAAGATGATACATCCAGAGGTTTTTAAATAGAAATACATAGTTTTAAATCAGTTTGACTATACTAAGAGCTGGCATTGTTCCAAGGGATGCCTTCTAGTCCCATCCACCCCACCCCGTTATATTCCAAGGCCACATCCACACAAGCAGGGACACATGTTTGTAGCAGCACAAATTTGTGCCGCTACTTTGTGCTGCAGCGCATGCCCCAGCTTGTGTAGCTTGCAGTAGGGTGCATTGTTCTGCTGCTCTGCAGGAGGGGCTGCCTGGGGCACAGGGTGCCTCAGTGTAGGGCTAGCCAGCAGGCAGTCCCCATGCTGAGGCACCCTGTGTCCCAGCCAGCCGGGGAGCAGCACGTGGAGCTGCTCACATCCCCATCTCTGCACTTTGCAGTGCCCTGTCTTGAGGCACCCTGCAACCTGCTCCTCTCCACAGCTGGCTGGGGCACAGGGTGCCTTAAGACGGGGGCTCTGTGTGCCTCAGCTCTGCAGTGGAGCCCTCTGTGCTGAGGCATGTGGAGATGGGGAGCAGCCTGCCTAAGGAGCTGCCTGCTCCCCTGTCTCGAAGCACTCTGCATCCCAGCCAGCCAGGGTTGCCTGCTTCCCCCATCTCAAGGCACACTGTGCTCCAGCCAGCCAGGGAGCAACTGGCTGGGGTATAGGGTGCATCAGCACAGGGGCTGTGCATGCACGGAGATGGGGAAGCCAGCAGTTCTGGACTGGCTGCTCCTCTGTCTCTGTGTTTGTCCCAGCATACAATACTCAGTGCTGCTTTTTTTTCTAGTTTTTTTGCTGTTGGGAAATCCTGGTAACATACTTTGTCCCAGTGCTGCTAGTTAACGAGGCAAACAGTTTAACGTGCAACACATGTGGTTTGTGGCACCACAGAGGTTTGAAGTGCCATAAGCTGTACATGCCTGCATGTCTGGATCTGGCCAAAGGTGGTGAACCTTTGGTTTATTTACAAGGGAAGCAAGAGACCAAGATCTGACATCTCTTCCAGACCCTTCAGCTCAGTTTAGTTCTAGTGAGGGAAAAATCATTCATGTTCATAGTACTGAATGAATTGACCCTGAATCATTAGATCACCTTCCTTTCTTTTTTTTTTTTTTAAATTGTAGTTGACAGAAGTAGTCACCTCCTTACAGTGAAACGATTGCCTACTTTCAATGATGGATTCAGCTGAAAGATAATTGTTGCATATCTATTTCTGATCAGTATGCTTCCTACTACTTTGGGTCTGTTGGGAAAGTGTAGAAAACTGAGCAAGTAAAAAGCATAGGATCAAGAAAAACATCTGGAACTTTTCTTCCATTGTCCAACACAGATGGCTTGAATAAATTAAGTTGTGTTTAACTATGAGCTTGCAGAGATATGTAACCATAATTAAAAAAATATGCACACAGTTTTACATTAGGTATGTTTATCTACATTGTACAAACTTTTCTTTACTTTTTTCTAGTGTTTCATCCATTAACCTATGAAGGAGGAGTTGATTTGAACAGGTAATTAAATGCTTGCTAAATTGATTGCTAAATATTGGATTATTTGTTACTGCTACACAAGTGCTTCCAGCAAGTGAAGCAGTCATTCCATTTTAGTTTCACAGACTGTTGCTAACCACTAGTAGGTTGATGGTTTTAATATAGCTTGAATTGAAGGATAAAGCTATTTCAATGCATCTCCAAAGTCTAAATTACTTCCATTATGAATAAAGATTACTAAATTTTTAGAAAGTATATCTGCAGTTGCTGTAGCTTATAATGGTGTTTATATCATGCAAATAACCAGTCAGATGTAGAAGAAGTAATTCATATGTTGTTAGTGTGAGTGTTATCTCTAACTGTAGGCCCTCTAGCCAAAAGGCCTACATTTAAAACAAACAATCAAAAACCCCCTTTTAAGTATTGTTAATAATAATACTTTTTTGTTTTTAGCATTATGGACCCAAATGAGAAAGTAGCTCTGCTGACACAAATCTTAGAGTTTGGACAGACACCAAAACAATTGTTTACAGTTCCTCATCCCCACAGAATAATACCAAAGTTCAAAAGCTTGTCTCGAACATCTAGTCACTCTGTTTCCATAACTGATTCTCCAGGTAAACTTATTTTAAAAAATCATAGTTATTGCTTATAGCCTTGTCTGACAATACTATTGACTTGGCCCTATTTTTGCGAAGGCAACATTTTTTGTGTGTCATTTGTTCTTGGTAGACAAGATCTCATGTTATAAAACTCACTTAACTAATTTCCCTGTACAAAGGCGCCAACTCGTGGGTGTTCCAGGGTTTGAGCACCCAAAAAATTAGGAGGTGCTTAGCATCCACAAGCCATGTCAGGCACACCAAGCTGGGGTAATGTGTTGCCTCTTCTGGGCATGCATGCACACACACGCGCACACACGCGCACACACACACTACCCATTGGCAAAACCCAAAGTTGGCATCTATGTCCCTCTGTAAGCCAAATAACAATAACTACAGGACCAAAGAGCACATTATAGAAAATAGATTTGCCTGACAACTCTATTTTTGTTTTACACAGCTGAGAATACAGGTGTTGGTCTTGCTGAGTACTGGTAATCCTTCAATTTTGTCTCAAGATTGTTTCAAGGGTTTAAATGAACATACAACATCAGTTTAGGCATCTGTACATGCAAGCCTTTTAAACATACAGTGAGAGAACATATGCAAAATAAATGCAAATTCTCTCCTATATGGTACTGAAGTCCTAAAAAAATTACTTCTGTGACCTGGAAAGTACTGTATTGGAAGCAGTGGGAATCAGGTTAACCTATCTACAGCATGGGCAATGCCCACTGCAAGCTTTCACCCAATTCCATGCTAATATGCTTTATATCCTGTCCTAGAAAGATCTCTAGAATGAGAGGATCACTCTGTTCCTGACACAATGTTGGCCATTTTCCTGGGACTGCCAGTGAGTGCCAATTAAGATAATGGACTAGTGTCCATACCACTTGAAGAACCACTTGAAGCTGGATGATATTCTAGCACTTTAGACTATATCAGTTAACTGTCAGACACTTTTTTTGCTAGTATCCTGGATTGTATTCAAACCAGTGGTTATATCATCCTCTTCAGTCCTCTTAGCTATTTTTAATTTCAAATAAAAGGATGAAGATAAGGTTGCTGTCCTAGGATGCAGATCCATGACATGCTTACATCAGAGGAAATCATATTCTGAGGTGCAAAGCTGTATCTAAGGAAGTTGAAAGTACATTTTTTACACAAGTTGCTATAGCGTATAATACCTTGTCACTGCTACCATTCTCAGTTTCATGCCAGGATAGTCGTTTGCAAACTGATTCCCTTTCTACCTCAGAACCAGGTGGAGTGACAGTTCTTGGGCTGGCCAACTTGAAAGAGCTGTTCGTTCTTAATGCAGAATAAGCTTACTGAGGAGTAAAATCTAGTGTTACTTCGGAGAAAATGTGTTGTAAGTCTGCAAACTTAAGTGTGTGGCTTCCAAATGGCATTTTAACTTTTTAAAATTCTTGTCAAAACAAGTGTTTAGAGTAAGATTTGATTTATTGTTCTTCAGGTTTTTTTAAAGATTACTTAAGTTACTAGTATAGTTTTTAAACTTTCCTAAATATATTATATGGTTTCCAGTTTTTATCAGCTTTTGATGGGAAAAGCTCATACAGTGAGATTTTTAGTGCTCTGCTGTATTGTAATGAGTCATACAGTTAGCTTATTTAATATCATTATGCCAGTAACCTCCTGAGGGCATGGGTACAAACCTACAATTTTATTTATAGCAGTCAGATTCAACAAAGTGGTGGCCAATCCCAACAGAAAAAATAAAACACACAATCGTGCATCTCTTTTGTATGCCTCTCCAGACCAATAATCTGTTAACTTTTAGCAGGAAATCGGAGGCATAACTAACAATTTTTGGTGCCTAGGGTGGGGATGCTGAGCACCAGAATGGTGTGGAGGGGGCTGAACTGCAGCAGTATGAGCTCTCATGCACGCTCTCTCAAACTGCTTCTCAAATCTCTTGTTTTATTCAGGCTTTAACAGATGTGCAGAACACCAGCTATGGGGGTGTGTGTATATACATGTGTGTACACATACTGAGGGTAATCTATTTGGAAAAAAAAATCATTTTCATTGTCCTTCACATCTTGTGTGTTAAATGACCTCTTTTGTATCAGTATGCTTTGTACTTAGAGGTTCAGTAATCTCCTTCACTAAATCTACTTAGCTGGAGTCTGTCCTTATTTGACTACTTATTTGTGATGGCATTTTTATTTGTAATTTAGTTTCTCCAGGTGAGGAATCTTTTGAAGATTTGACAGAAGAAAGCATAACACTTGCATGGAACAGTATTGCCAAATTAAAATTAGATGAGCAACATAAAATTCACAAAGAGTAAGTTCTTGTGAAGCTGCTGTGGTATGGTGGTTTTAACCTCATTCAGTCATGGGCTTTAGCTTAATTAAAATAAGAATGCTTCCAGTAGGTGTATTTGGGAAACCCAGGAATTGCCTAAATTCCATGGGTGCCAGTGTCCTGAGCTGAAAGTCCACTAGGCACCTAGGGTGTCTATACATGTGCTCCAGGGAGTGGGCAGGAGGTTAATTAGAGTGGCTCCCAGACAGCCACTCTAATTAAAATTCTGTGGTGTCGTGTGTGTTCAACATCCCGCATTTCAAAATGGCTGCAGGGGCGCTTTAACTAAGCTTGTTTGAGTTTAATTAAAGAGCCCCGATGGCCATTTTGAAAGGACGCTGAATACATGTGATGCTGCAGCGCACTGGACTATTCCAGTTAGAACACTCCAGCAGACTTGCTTAATCGGGACGCATGTACAGGTAGCCCTTGGGTTTTGCTCCTCAGCTTCTGAACCATTTCATTCTAAAGGCTTGGAGCCATCCTCCTTTCCTAATCCCTTTTTTGGAGTCCCACTAAACAACCTGAAGGCTTGTCTGCCACTTTGCTTGCCAGTATCTACCACTGCTCAGGCCATGGCCACTTGTGCCCTGTCTACCCACTCCTGCAGGCATGGTCCAAGCCTAGAATTTAGCAGTGGACTCATGCCTCTGCACCTACACTGTTCCTGAGTAGCTGCTGGAGATGAGCCCACTAGCAAAATTCAGTTTTTGGGGCCTGTCCTTGCTGGAGCTGCTGCTTTTATGGTATAGACAAGCCCTGAAGGGCCAAGTCTGGTAGGGGATCTTCAGATAGGGGTAATCATAGTTCCAGGGTCAAGCTCTTCACAAAACAGCAGCAGCCACTTTCTTTTAAAATGGGACCAGAGGAAAAGCAACCCCTTCTTTATGTGATGGAGCACCAAGAACACTTGGAGTGGTTTGAGCCTTTTCCTAGGAAGTAGGAGACCCAGACTTATTGCCTTCCTCACCTCCTCACACCAGAATGTACCTTAACTGCCAGACTTGCAGACTGAGTGGAATCCATCTCCTCTCCCCATCTTGAATTTGTTCCTCTGTGCAGCAAAAAAAAGAGGAAAAAAAAACCCCACTGAATAGCAGGGAAATGGATCAAAGGGAGAATCTTTCATTGTAAACCCTGCTCCCAGGACTCATTTTGCGTTCAATAGCCATTAAAACAAATATCCCTCAGCAGAGACCAGAACCCTGTTCTGAGTGAGTGCCCTAACCACTAGGATGCAGAGACACCCTCCATCCCCCTCTCTGTTGATACAGGAGGCTGATTGATTTTTTTGGCTGCAAAATGGCACAGATCCAGGAAGGATAGAGTATGCCCCACCTGTGGTAACCTGTATTCTTTATGGTTATATCTGTTCAAGAGCTTTCCACGCACTCTAGGGAAGCCCTTAAGCTCTAGCAAGGGGCTTTGTGGACGCAACCTGTGCTTAGCTGTCATCATTAACTAACTTTCAGAGGGTTCCTTGGTCAGGATGTTGTGGTCTTGGGTAGCCTCAAAGTTAAGCAGTAGCATCTAATCTGTAGATGTGCAAGTTGTGTTATAGCAGAACTGTCCCAGGGCTATGTGGTCCTCAAGGGATAATCTTTAGCCCCCAGGCTCCTGGTCTGGCCACTGCTCCCCTCATTGCTCCTCAGCTGATGCTATTGAAGTCCCTAGGCTACCCCTTCTGCCTGTAGCCTGTACTTCCTGACCCCATCCCTGGGTGTAGCTGAGGGAGCTCTTGATCAGGGGACTCAAGGGGATCCCAGGGACTTGTGAAGTGCAAGGTATTGATGCAGTGCACTGGGGGTGAGGTGGCACAGCTGTGGGGGGTCTTGAAAGATGTAGGGACACCAGCACTGGATTGTGCTCACTGCAGCACAACAGCGGGTTTGCCTGCGTGGCTTGAAGTGCAGCCTGGAAGGGGGAATGTAGTCCCTGACCACTCAGAAGTTGGGCAGCCCTGCCTTTCAGTATCTAGCCCAAATGGGGTGACTGTTCTCCAGTGTACTTATTCAGCCCCTTTTTTGATGAGGGTTGAAGTTTACTGACAGAACAAACAGTGGGGGCATCTCTCACACTGCTATTTTCACTTCTTTGCCAACGTATTTTATCTGTAGGGTTGTCATGCATATTGTAACAATTTTCTTAATCTACATCTAATTTAACTCTTGTGAGGTTCCAGCTGTGAGAAAGTTGTTATAAAGTCTGGTTGTTGGTATTTAAACCTGTGTGAAGTCGCATGCAACCTTTTATGTTTTGAACAGGGCAATTACTGGAATAGCAGTCTCTTTCAATGGGTCTTCAGTATTTACTACATCTCAAGGTGAGTGCTATAGTATGGGTCTCTTGTATCGTGAGTTTTTTTCAAACCTTGCACTGTTTTATGTAATGTCTTGTCCTGATAACTTTGCATGAACCATCAATTTTACTAGCCAGCCCTTTTAAGGTGGGGTTTTCCAAAGTACTTAGTACTTGCCTAACTTATTGTCAGTGGATTCTGAGACTGGCATCTTGTCATAGAGACTTGTGGGCAGCCCCCACGATTTAAAGAACTGTTTGGAGGGGAGGGAGCAAATTCTTTGTTTGATTTGATGTCTCTATTAGAAATAGGTTGCTGATTAGAAGCCAGACTAAAACTAGTCTCCCAGTCTACTAGGTTTGAGGGTTGGGTGTAAGGTAACTGCTTCATCCCATAGAAAACATTATCATGGAAACAGAAGTTCTTACCAAACTGCTTGTGTCAGTGAATAGTGCCCAAATGAAATGCACAATAAGTAACAGCTAAACCTTGTCTTAGCAAGAAGCTGGTGTATCAGTTGAAATCTTACAGGCTTTTAACCTGAGCAAATTAAAGGCACTTGGCCTGAGATAGGATTAGTTGGTGACAACAGCCCTCTTTGCCTTACGCACCCAATAGAGTGAGAAGTGGATTGAGTTGAACTTCAATGAGAATGGAGTTAAGGCAGCACAGTAATTTGTTAAAATCCCACACTGAGCACTTTGCAAGCAATCTGGAGTGTGCCTACCCAGGGAAAAGCAGCTTTGTGCACAGATATCTGAGCATGCCCTGAAACTGAAAGCAATGTCATCTTGGCATAGTGCTGCACCTGGGCTCCTTAGAGGAGTCGGTTAACCCAGGCTCAGTGCAGAATGAATGCAGCTGTACTGCATAACTGGCAGAGAAGCTTGGAGTTTTAGTGCAAAAATGCTCATTTTAGGTTTCATTGTAATATCTTACAAAAGAAAAGGAGACAGTAGATAGAATGTGTGAACTGTCTTAAATAGCTCAGTATTCTTGTTTACTACAAAGGCTTTTTATCTGGCTGAATTTGCTATGGTCCGTTCTTTGAATGACCTGCATCAATATTAATGACAGGATGGCATGTTAAAACATCTATTCTGTATATTCCCCATATTTAACACACTAAAATGCCACTTCATTAAAAATGAAATGAAAAAGTAAATAAAAAAAAAAATAACTATTACCTCACTGAAGAGAACTTTCAGGTGCTGAGTCTCACTGGAAAGTCAGTAACTTCTGCTTTCCAGTGTTGCAAAGGTCCTTTATTAGGTTCAGTGTCTTGTGGAACTTAAGCCTACCATTGATGCAGAGTGGAGTGCTGCCAGTCATGTATTTCAGATCAGTGTAGAGTGTAGAATTAAAAAATGAAATTAAAAAAAATTGAAGGAAGAAGTATTGGAACTATGATTGATGGGAACAGTGCAAAATAAACTAAAATCAAAGGGTGTCTGCTGGATTGAGTTACAGGGCTCTTCAACTTCTCATTGTTACTAATTCTGCAAAACAATCATGTGAAATTAATACCAGCAAATTGGGATGCTTAACTAAAGTAGTTCTGGCATTTGTTATTCTCCTAATGACACCAAAAATAATTTCAGAGGTAAATTCGGAGAGAAATTGAGTGTGTCACAAATAGGTTTTACTAACAGTAGCCTTCGTTTCTTGACCTCTTGTCATTTTTTTTCCACTGGTTTATCCATCCGTTGTCTGTGGTCCATAAGTAAACATTCAAATATTTAATCCACAGCAAAAATGAGTGTAGTATGTTGCAAAACAGTTCTGTTTTGAGCTCTCCAATTGGTGTTTTATGTTTTCATTAGATTCAACTTTGAAGATGTTTTCTAAAGAAACAAAAACGCTTCAGAGAAGTGTATCTTTTTCAAATATGGTAAGTAGTTGTCATATTGCAATGAAACCAATAGGAAAACTTTCTGAAAGTTACCCACAGGAAGGTGTCCCTAGTTATCAGTGAAACATTGGGTTTGTCTTTGCTTCCTTCCTCCCCTAACCCCCCTCCCTTTATTTGCTTTCACGCAGTCAGGTAAGATTCTCTGCATTTTTCTATCTGTACTTGGGAGGCGCATCCTAGCCAACAGGGATGGGTAGTCAAGGTGGCTTTAAGTCACTTTCGTGTTTCATTATTCTGGGCTGCTCTTTAAGCACTCAGACTGCTCAGAGTCTCCAGTCCACAAACCAAAACTGGCCCATAGGGGTCCCCATGGTTTGGGAAATTGGGCAGCAGGAGAGCAATGGCAGTTAATACAGCCACCCCTTCCTGCTGCCATAATCACAAGTCCCATGGGGCTGAGCAGAGCTGGGCCACAACCCTCCCCCTTGGATGGCTAGATCAGGCCTGGGCTATGCTGCATTCCCTCTGTGGGCTGGGCAGCTGGTTCTGGGCCACCCACACTTCCTTCTTCTACCCTTCCCCTCTTTCCTTCCCCACAGGGCTGGGCCATACTCCCTTCCCCCTTGCAATGTTGAGCCATGCCTCTCCCCCTGCAGGGTCAGGTTGGGGCTGAATCATGCCCCCTTCTCCCAGGTGACAATTGCAGCTGGGCTGTCCCCCCCCCCCTCCCCCTGCCACCTGGGGCTGGATGGAGTCCTGGCCCACGGAGGGATCAGGCACTGCCTGTCCAGCCCACTGGACAAAAAGGTTGAGCGCTACTGATATAGACCATGTGGTACAATGGGATATGGGCAGGCAGACAAATTATACAGCATTAAAAAATGGTTTGGAGGACTTACTGTGGAACTATTTTGTGCATCTCCTTCCATCTTATGGTAAGTGGAAACAGTCCTTGTACCTATGCTTGGCTCTGAATGAAATGGTAAACTCTACTTCCAAAAGAAGATTGAACACATGAAGTAGTTACTGTAGAACAGATGATGTGACATACAATAAGTCCCTTTTAATTTCTTTGCTGCTGATGCAAGATGGTTTTTGGGATCCGCCAAAGATATATAAACACATCTGCCTATGGGCAGAGGTGCTCCAAAGAATTTCTGTAGTTGTTGTGCTCACACTCCCCTGTTCCAGGAAATCCTATATCTGTCTCTCAGCCCCTCTGCTTAAGGATTTCCATATAAATGGGTCTAGCTCTTCAGAGCTTTGCTCCAGTTCATTTAAGGCAGGGGTATTAAATTTATCTGGCCCCTGGATGAGGGGCATGGGGCTAGCCCAGCGTATGGAGCTGGTCTGTGGGCCCAATCTGGACTGATTCTGCATCTAGCACACAGCTGATTTGATACAGGGCTTGCATGCAGTGCATTCTCCAGACCAGTCCCATGTGCAGTGCATAGGACTGGAACAAACACATGCTGCATGCAGTATGATCTGAGACCCAAAGACGGCACTGCAGGCCAGATGATGGAGCTCTGTAGCCCATAACTTTGACATTCTTATTCTAGGGCAAAGGGTGGAAACTTCACCTATGCTATCAACAGGGCTCTTACCGCTGGGGTTTGTGGGGTGTTTGTTTTTAAGTACTAAAAAAAAGTATTTACTAAAATGACTACCTTTTTATTTCTAATACTTTGTCCCCTCTGGTATTTCTCTGCCTCACGTGGCTGTTTTGCTGCTCCACTGCAACTTTGAAGCACTGGTAGAGGGTTGGCACTGGTTCTTTGGTATAGTGCCACCCAACCACACTAAGAGCAAATCTGGGACACAGGCAGTAATGTCAGTAGCAGAACTGTGCCTAATGCTCCCACTGTTTCTGCCAGTGGTGGTAGTGTAACAATAGTAGCCATCTTCAACATAATGTAGCCTTATAACTGATAGCACTAATCTTAGGATAATAGGAAAGGAGAGCTGGAAGGGACCTCATGAGGTTATCTTGAGCAGGGAGGTAGACTATATTGGATTATGAAAATAGGGTGAACTAGAGGGTGGAAACAACTGTGTTTTTGACTTCTCTATTCTTGAACCGTGAAGACTTGATTGACAGATGAGGTCTCTTCCAGTCATGTCCCCATGAGTTTTGATAAGTTACTGTCAGTTCTATATCCGTAGCATACTTGATAAATACCTGTTAAACAAAGCTTGTACCTCCTTTTATATGGGAATGATGAATATTAGGACTCTGCTAAGCCTCGGTTGTTGATCCAATTTGGAGGAGATTCGGCCTCATTTAAGGCCAAATCTTCGAATCTGGAAACCAATAAAAAGGTTCAAATTGAAGCTCTCAGAATTGATTCGGAGATTCGGGCAGTTCCTCCTCACCGCTGCAGAGAGCTGGACCTGGAGTCCGTGCCAGTAAGTGGGTGGAGGGGACCATGGAGGACCCCTGCCAGGCCCTGCCCCCTGACACCCTCCCTCCCCCCACTCTCCCAGCCCTGTCAATGGCTGCCCTGCCCAGCTCTTTTTTTTTTTTTTTTTATTTTTAAGAGCCCCGCACTCACTGGATATTGGCAGGCAGGGGGGGAATCTCCACTGCCCCCCACTGTGTGGGGAGCTCTGCCACAAGCCCCCAGAAGCCCCAAAGCCCCAACAGCTGCTACAGTAGCCAGTGAGTGCAGGGCTGCTTCTTTTTTTTTTAAGAGCTGGGCAGGGCAGCCATTGATGGGGCTGGGAGAGCGGGTGTGAGATGGGGCCTGTTTGGTTCGGCTGATTCAGCTGAAATGATTCGGGACAGTGATTCGAGTCACCGAGTTGAATCACTGTCCCCTGAATCGGACAAATCCAAATCCGAAGCAAATACTAGCTGCTTTGCGCAGGCCTAATGAACATGCCATCCCTTTAGGCAGAGGTCAGGGGCCTATGGGTTGTGGGCCAAATCCAGTTTGCAAAGAGCTTGAACCCAGTCTGCAGTGGTGGGGAAAACAGCATCATGTGGTGACAAACTACAAAGAGGATGCCTCGCAATGTTGTTCTGCCTACTGCATGCCACT